TTAATGATATATGGCCCAACTTTGCATGTTAATGTTAGAGTACAAAAATATATCCCTCAACCTTCACAATAACTTTCGAGTTTTGCTGTAGTGGTGAGGTCATTTAATTAAGATGGTATCAGAGTAGCTCAAGTTCTAATCCTACTGGCCATGAATTTAACCGGATTTAAAAAAAAAAAAATCTTGATACCGATGTGTGAGTCTAGAGTATGAAAAGATAGAACATCAATTATGAAAAATTATCATAATATATCAATTTGTTGCTAATTGCACTGATTCTCCTTCTCTACTGAAATTATGCAATGTTAGTTTCTATCCAAAATTATTTTGGCGGTGTTTTGAATCGGGCAACCTTGAGTTTAGAAGAAAGGATAGCACAAATTGGTTATACTTTTGTTTAATTTCTACTTGCTTGAGTTTGTGATGGTCATTGATCGTCCTAGCATTAAAAATTTTGAGTGAATTTTAATATCAGACTAGTTTGCCAGAAGCAAACATTTGAAAGATAACCTTTATGAAAATCCTTAGAAAAAGGAGCTTGATGATTTTGGTGATTATGTGTGATCTTATTACAATGTGAATATTTCTAATTACTCATGCACTAATATTTAGTCCCCATGATTAGTGCACCGTGATATATGATAGTAATTATTACTTGTCTTTGACCTTGAACGTTCATTTTACTATAATATATGATTAGTGCATTGTAATTTTTGCATGATTATATTTCTTGATTCTTTAAGTATCTTTGCCCAGAAGGCAAACACTTTAAATTTTCTCTCTATCAATTAAGACGTGAAAAATTGATGCCTCACTGAAAAAGTATTCACTTTTTCTGGGCATTCCCTGAAGGATCGCTTTGATCTATGAAAGCCAATAATCTTTCTCAAGTGCAACTGGCAGAGTAAATTAGAACTTTTTGGATTTCAAATACATGACTAAATATGATTCAGCTCTGTACCATATTATTTATCAGCTAAAACTCTGTAAGCAGAACATTACAGACAGTGATAAAATTGATCAAAAAGTTTTTTCCCCCATTCCATGCAAATAATATTGTACTCCAGCAGAAGTACATGACTAAGAATTACACTTAGCATTCTGAATTGATATCTACATTAGTAGTCGCAGAGAAGCACATTAGAAATCACAATGTCAGATTAGTTGTTAGATTAGTTGGCTTACGAGTTGTGCTATAATTCAGAAAATTACTTATACGCGTGGATAAGGGGGAGACTATGAACATAATAACCCTGTACTCTTGCAGTAGTACAAGACTAAAAAGTATATTAAGCATTATGAACTAATCCTTGCATTAGTAGTTGTTAAAAAAAAACACAACCAGCTGTTGTGAGAAGCCATAATGCAAGTTTAATTGGTTCACTCGTAGTGCCTGAAGCACATGTCATAATTCAAACTAATACTCATAAACTTGGACGAGGGAAGGTATTGGACATTGAAGTGGATTTTATCGAGGTGGTCAAGGTAAACTATTTAGTTTTTCTATATTTGAATTATATGTATTTGTCAGACAATTTTAATTTATCTTGAGTTTGCTTTAAACTCATGAGATCCTATGTGGCTTTTATTCATATGTGTATAATTTAGAATTTGTCTGACCTAAAATACATCATGTTGCGATGCGTTTAAGATTTAGGGACCCAAATTCTTTTAAATTCTGGCATGAGCGATTGGGTCATCTTGGGCATAATATGATTTGTCGGATTTCCTTAAATTAAATGGGGGCATTCAAACCAAATCCGACCTACTGCATATCACAATTTTTCTCCTTCATCTAATACGTGGTGAATAATCGAAACATTTCCCATCTGCGTATTCTTTATTTGCAGTCCATATTTCTATATCACCACCCTAGCGTACCTCTATTGGGCCTTAGCAAAAATAAGGTACATACATTATTTATGAAACTCCGTCAATAATTTAGTACCTATGGCCCATGTCAGGGGATCAATTTATAATTTTGTACGCTGACTGTATTTTTTTAATGAAGATCAATTCTCGACATTAGGGGGAGATTAGCGCCCAAAATATAAAAGAATGTCGAGAAATTTCATAAAATGAAAAGAATCTTCATTTTTAGATCCATGTACTAGTAAGCTGAACTAGAAGTTCAGTATAAAATTATCTGCCAAAGATAGGAGTGACTAAGCCCCATATTCATCTTGAGTATATCAACTGATGATTTGGTACGCCAGAAGCATACTGTGCCAGAAGCATATGAAACATGTTAGTGTAAAAGATAAAAGTCCGCGGTACACTAAATCTATTATAGAAAGACAGTCACTCCCATAACCTCCGGAGAGGCTTGTCCTGAAGACGAAATCTCCAGTAAATTGCACGTGCACTTGATAATCATAATATTGGAGATGCGGAACGTCCAAATCCAAACGTTAAGGGAAATGTCGAGGATTTGGTTAAAATAAAATAAGCTTTGAAGTGGCCACGAATTTGTGAAAATGGAGAAATATATAATAGAAATATAAAAGTTGTCGACAACATAGTTACCTTTACAGTTGCTCTTACTATCTCTGAAAATAATCTGGATCCAGAACCTAAGTCGGTAGCAGAGTGCTTGAAGCACTCGGACTAGGTGAGATGGAAAGTGGCAATTGAGACTGAGCTGAACTCGCTAAAGTATTTTGAACCTGTAATTCATATATCCCTGCAGGATATAAATGGGTATTCATAAGAAAAATAAATGAGAATTGTAAGGTGGTAAGATATAAAGCGAGATTCATAGCTCAATGGGTTCACGCAGAGACCAGGCATCGATTTAGATGCAAAATATTCTCCTATTAGTGATTATATTATGTTCCGCAAGTTAATACATATGGCAGAAACTATGAATTTATATATGCAGTATATGTACGTCATGACCATATTTTTATATGAGTCATTAGACACTAATATTTTTATATGAAAGTCCCTGATGGACTTAAAATTCCTGAAATGAGAGAAAACAAGAATCGCAACATGTATAACATTAAATTATAAAGGTCGTTATACGACTTGAAACAGTCGGGTAGAATGTGGTATAACCGACTGAGTGAGTTCCTCCTGAAGAGGAGATATGAAAATAATGATGTCTGCCCTTGTGTGTTTATAAAGAAATTCGAAAATGACTTCTGTATTATATCAGTCTATATTAATGATATTTATATCAGTCTATATTAATGATATAAATGTTATTGGAACGCACAAGGAGCTTACAGAAACTAGCTCATGCCTAAAGATGGAGTTTGAAATAAAAAACTTGGGAAAAACCAAGTTTTGTCTCGGCCTACAGATCGAGCATTTTCCTAGAAGGAATTTTTCTACACCAGTCAACCTACGTGAAAAAGGTTTTGAAAAGATTTTATATGGATAAATCTCATCCACTTAGCACACCAATGGTCATTCGATCCCTCGAAGTGGATAAAGACTCATTTAAACCCAAAGAAGATAATAAAAAAATGTTAGGGCCAGAAGTTCCCTATCTGAGCACCATTGGAGCACTTCTTTATCTCGCAAATTACACCATGCCTGATATTGCATTTGCGGTGAACTTGCTAGCAAGGTATAGTGCTTATCCTATAAGGAAGCAATGAAATGGTGTTAAACATTTCCTTCGCTATCTTCAAGATACAAAAGATCTTGGACTATTCTATAAAAGAAACCAAGATATGACATTGGTGGGCTATTAGGACGCTGGCTACATGTCTGATCTCCATAATGTCAGATCCCAGACTGGTTATGTTTTTTTCTCTGTGGTGGTACTGTCGTTTCTTAGAGGTCTGTTAAGCAGACTATGGTGACTACTTCTTATAACCACTCAGAGATTATCGCTTTATATGAGGCCTCACGAGAATGTGTATGATTAAGATCGTTGATACAGCATATTTTTGGCTCGTGTGGTCTAGCGAAAGATGATATTCCCCCCCAATGTCCTTTATGAGGACAATGCAGCTTGTGTTGCACAAATGAGCAGTGAATATGTAAATGAAACCATGACAAAACATATTGCGTCAAAATTCTTTTATCCACATGAGCTCCAAAAGAATGGCGAAATCACCATCGAAAAAGTTCGCTCAAGTGACAATCTTGCAGATTTGTTCACTAAGTCTCTGCCTACATCAACTTATGAGAAATATGTTCACAATATGCACAGACTTGAAAGACTATCTTCTTCAGGGGAGCAAATTCTTAAAGAACAATCCTGAAGATTGGGCCCTGAAGGTCTATTATCATAATTTGCCCATTTTTGCTAAGTTTTGTCTCACTGGGTTTTTCTTAGCATAGACTCAGAAGATTGTCATCATCAGGGGGGGAGCGAATTTTCAACATAATCCCGAAGATTATGCCTTGAAGGACTATAGTTGTACTCTTTTTTCCTTTTGCTAAGTTTTGTCCCATAGGGTTTTCTTAGCTAAAGGTTTTTAATGAGGCAACTAATGCAACACAAGTTTACTAATGTCGTGTACTCTTTTCCTCGACTAGTTTTTATCCCACTGGGTTTTTCTAGCGAGGTTTTTAACGAGGCATTGACATCTCGAAGTAATGTCCAAGAGGGAGTGTTGAAATCTAAGAGACATTTTGTGGAAATCTAAAAGACAAAATGTATGTGGACATTACTTTGTATGTGGACTATTAATTTTATGTCCTTTTGTATTCCATCATGTATCTATAAATAGTACGATGTATGGAAATGGAAGTGTGAATAAAAGATTATAATTTCTCTTCTTCTCTTGTCTCTTGTCTCTTGTTTCATTTCTTTAGTATATTATAACAGTTTATACGTTTTCTGCCAAAAAATACTAATGTGGTCTTAAGGTTGGACTTTCCGAAAATCTAAAAAATGTTTTCCTCGTAATTTAATGCATTTTCAATGCCCCCCCCCCCCACTCTTTTGTGAAGAGGTAGATTTAAGTAGTGTTCATGTATAAGAGGAAATTAAAAGCCAAGAAAGGTAAAAGACTATATAGATCAAGCTTTGAACATTATTCAACACAAATTCAGAATCAATAAATAACGATCTCCATATTTATTTAAGAGTTACATTTAGCAAGGAAACTTATGCACATGCTTATTCCTCCAATGAACATTATTTTATACAAATAACAATCTCCTCAGTTATTCAATATTTCTAATAACTCTTGATATTTTCTTTTGCAGGCTCATCGAAGATTCGGTTGAGTATCAGAGCTAATCTCACCCCAGCTTGTGCTATTCTTTTCTCCATAACAGGGAGTCGAGAGTAGAAATAATTGTCTGTAATTAAATCATTTTAAAATTAAATTATTTTAAAATTAAATTAAATAGGAAAAACTTAAATCAAGTAATTCATTACAGAAACATAATTAAGTTGGTGATTTACCTCCTAACGTTACATTTTGCTCCACATCCTTGTATGCATAGTTACAAGCTAAATGTGTGCTCTCCACAGCATAACTGCACATATTTAATTTGATTAAACCAATTATAATTCTATCTAATTAAAAATTGTATGCTAAATCTTTTTTATTTATCTAATAATCTTACTCATTTGCACATGTTTTGTATTTATTGTGGCAAATTTCCCAATTATCAATCTGATCTGACCAGTCATCCTGCAACAATAAAGATCAACTCTTACTACAACATTTTATTCTAATGAATAAGTTTGACTCAAATATTTTTCGAGAATTTTTCTTACTTACCCAGAATAAGTTAATAAATTATCCATATTTGTTAATAATAATAATAGTAATTGAGAATAAAAAGAATAAAAAATCAACACTTACTGTGATATTCATTTGTATTCCTTTTACCATTGTATCCAAATCCTTATTGTAAAAGTCCTTCATTGCAGTGTCGATCATGTTGGTATCCCATAACTTGCAATATTACAAAAGGAAATTAAAAGATTGTGTCAATTTCTTAAATAGTTCAATACTTTTAAAAGACATCAAAACTTTATAAGAAATGAAGATGATTTCGAAAGATACTTAACATGATGAAGATTAGTTTTCCTTCGGTACCAATGGATAATTATTGTGTTTCCACCTTGATCAGCCTCAAAACCACAGTGCAAAGGTTGGTGTATATCTCCCACGAAATGTGCAAGGAACATTAGACTCTCAGTCAAATTATCTGATTTTATAAGATGGATAATTTTTGTGAATGAGCAGGAGACAGGATCAAGACTTAAAGCGACCAAATTAATATAGATTTAATATGACGTATACGTATTTGTGTTAATTCTTACATGTATTTGAAGAGTCACCGTAGCCTCGAAGTTGTTCAGTATAATTGTTGATTGCTCCAACTACGCACATGCCTTGCTGACCTTTGGGATTATGACAATCCCCTATAAAGAAATGCGGAAGGAGCATTAGAATCTCATCGCAACAAGTGTTTAGTATGTAATTAGTCCGTTGACTAATAACCTTTTACATCACTAGTCCTTGAAGCATTAATTGTTAGAAGTAAAGAGGTCACGTCTAAATCAAAAAATGATACAGAATTTCAAGTAATGACACCTAGAGTTGTTTTGTAGAACTCCGGGTGGTGAGGGTTATTTATACTCTAACATGTACTTTCCTATTGATCATGCTTCTCGTGAACCAGACCCGGGGGTTATGTCTGATAGGATTGGAATTTGGATTGTTCGGATTACCTTAAACTATCTTTTCCTTAATTAGTATCTGTATCTATCCCTATCCAATGAAAATATGTGGGCATATGGAGGATAGAACAATAATCCAATTCCATAAAAAAAAAAATCATCCAATTAGCATTATCTACTTAGCACTCCATCCTTGTATTCCATTGTGATGTTGTACATGCTTCTATCCTTTCATTTGGAACATGTGATGTATTTATAATTATATCATTATATATGCGTGCTTATCATTATATCATTATATATAGAGCCCTGCTATTTGGCTCGCGGTCCAACCGCGAGCCCCCAACTCGCGGTGTGGGGAACAGGGGGTGGGCCCCACAGCAGTGGGGCCCACCCCCTGTTCCCCACACTGTGAGTTGTTAGCTTTTTTGTTATATATATGTGCGTATAGCTCTAAAATATCTCTTGTCAATTATGAAGGAGAAAGATGGGAGTAGTGGTCCACACGTACAAGAAAGGACACGTCTTTATGTTACCCTAGCACTTCACGTTACCATTGTGACAGATAAATATTAGATCAACCTTAAGTTTGGTCCAAATCATATCCTAACACGTCTTTATGTTCACTTATATCAGCTGAATTAGTTATGTGAATGAAATACTCCTGGTTAGTTTTTTTCTCTCCCAAAGTTAGCATATAAATAGTGTCAGAGTTTAGTGAGAAGAGATCCTCTACCTCCTATATTGTAGAGAATGTCTATAACTATATTGGTGGTTAAATAAGATTGATTAATACAATAAGCCTAATGATTAAGAGGATTTTTATATAATTATTTAATTAATATAAATATAGGGTCCATAGAGTGAGAGAAGGTTATTAGCGAATTGTAGGTATCCTCTATAATCTGAGATGTAGAGCATCCATGGCGGGTTTAGTTGGGATTAGCTAGACCTATTAACTGTTACAATGTGAAGCTGCAGTGCATTATTAAATTGGATGCGTAGTCTTCCCAACTTCCTATGACTTTTCAAAAGAATATTAATTCGTATTGTATTTTTGCTATTGCTTTTCTATTGGAATTAGTGAATGTGGGATTTAAAAAATAAGGGTGTGTTTGGCAATCTATTAAAAATTGGGCTAAGATTAGTCCTAGCCTAGTTTTTGAGTACTTTTTTGTTTGGCAAAAAACTGAGCCCAAGTTAACCCAATTTTTGAAGGTAAAAAATGCCTACTAAACTGGTTTTAGTTTGGACTATATAAGTTTGGACCACCCCCTATGGTCCAAATTAACTAAAACCAGTTTAAGATAAAACTGGGTCAGGACTGATCCTCGCCCAGTTTTTAATAGATTGCCAATACATCCTAAGTCTTTGGGATTCAAGTGCGATAATGATTAAACATTTATGGTACTGGACTAACCCCTCATCCCATAGCGAGAGACATCTCTAGAGTCCACATCACAGTGATACTCCGAGACCAAATATGCGTTGTTGTTTTGTTTGTACAAATTATAATTAGGCACGATTTGGTTGCTATCAGAAAAGAAAGAAAAGAGAAAAGGAAATTGAAAGGAGACATAAAGTAAATGCAAAGTAATTTGATTGTTTGGTATCTCAAAATTGAGAAGAAAACTTGTGGAGAGAAAAGTATGTTTTATGTTGTTTAGATAAGTTACAATGAACCTTGAGCAAGTTTATGGAAACATGAGACCCAAAGTCCTAAAGAGTCACTCTTTTGCCTACTCTCACTTTGACTAATTTTGAGAAGAGAAAAGGAAAAGTTAAAAAAAGGGGGAGAATTTTACTTAGATTTTTGGAGCTTGTCACCAAGCATTTTATCATTTTGATAATTAGTAAATCCTAGAAATATTTATTCTAGCAAGCTAGTCAAATCTTTGAGAAGTCTCCTTTATTCCACGTTGACGTCATGAGCACAAGAATATCACTGCACTCGCTAAAGGTATTGGTGAAGGGAAATATTTGACAAGTATCTTGATATGATTAGCATAAATCCCAAAAGGAACCTTCGACTCTCTTTGAAACTAAAAATTTTTGGCGATTTCTGATAGCAAGATTCTGTATGAGTTGAGTTTGTACAAGTTTGGTATATAGTTCAAAGGAGTTTTGAACCTCTTTCTTCTTATTCTTTTAAAGTCATTAACCATTATCAGAAGAGTTGAGCATTATATTTTTATATTCTAGTATGTCTTCGCATATTGAGCATCATTTTTATGGGTTGAAAATTAAGCCCGAGTTACTATGATATCATCTTAAAGTTTTTAATCATCACATCAAAACTTTCAAGTTGTAATTAAAGATGAGGACTATAATTTTATATTCTAACATGTTTATAGGATAGCTATCTTATAGAACTAGGGCCTCAATTTTTTGCGGATTTGTATCTAGGACCTCTTAAACAGACTTTGTGCTATTTAACACCCAGCTGGCCTACAAACTAATTTTATATTTGCGCTGAAGTTGCAGCTCTGTG